ATTCCAATTATTAATTGAATTACACCGAGTTTTATACGAATCTATTCTTTGGAAGAAAAAAATATTACAATAAATTATTTATTGGAAATAGTTTCTTTTAAGGCACTTGTGAGTAATTTACATTTCTTGACTTATAGAAATCAGATATCAAAGAATTCAGTTTGAAATTTAAATTAATTGCTTCATAATTATTTGAGGATATTTTAAATGTTAGAAATATAAAAACACAGAACTTATGAGTTCAATGATGAAAAAATATGCGAGAGCTAAATGTGGGTGTTGCCAAACGGGAACGTGAGAAAAATGAGGTAGTATTTTCTTCTCTCGGAGAAAGTATATTTTCTGTCTAACGGAATCCAAAAGTAAAATTTCGTAAAATTTCAATTAAAATGGGTTTGACGGGTAAATTCTTAAGAAATTTTAAACTTTTTTCTGCAGCTGCCAGTCTTGTAAATAAATCTTTCCAACTCTACAATGAATACTATTTAAATTATTGCGGAGATGTGTTCAAAAAGAGGCAATTAAAAATAAAAACTTCAATTAGTGTTGATATTCTTCTGAGAATTATCTGTAGGCGTGCCGGTTCCGTGACACCATTTGCACATGGTTGGCACTGTCATAGATGTCGAGGACAAAATCCCACGACGCTTGAATTTCTCACAAAATCGCACAACAAAGCTTGATATAAAAGTGGTTATACACGTTTTCCCGAATGTAGAGTAAAACAGTTGTTAATCATTTTAATTCATTCTGTTCGAAAGAAAATAAAAGCACTCAGGAAAGGAAAACCATCTTATAGAGTTCCTTTATATAAACCGTAAAATACTTTTCAGTATGTAATCGCAATTTTGATATTAGAAACGTCTTTGATGAAGACACTTCAATTTTTGTACCGTTACTTTACGTTACGCTACCATTTGTACATTATCCTGCTGCTTTGACGTATGTTTCCACTGAAATACAGGGCTCACATCTGTTTTCCAACATTTATGTTTCTGAAATTTGTATTCAAAACTCAACTACTAAATAATAAAGGATTATCTCCAGGTTTTATTTTGTATATTTCGTTTATTTCGTACATGTTATTCGTGTATTTCAAAACCTGCTTGTCATTAAAAAATATATCCCAAATGTTTCTAAAATACGTTTATTCAAAAAGTGCTAATCACGAACTTGCGGATAATCAGAAGTTTTGTTCAAATGTTTCACAAAAAGTGATTTATTGCAACATTTTTACTTCCTTCTACAAAATAAAAAGGAAGTACTGTCATAAAAAAAATTCAGATATCATATTTCAACAGAAATATCCATTTTGACGTTTCCCGAATACATTTCGACCACTGACATCTGTAGGTACGGACAGAATAAAGGACTGGGTTTTCTAAAATGGATTTTTCCATGACGTCTGTACGTACGTATGTATGTATCTTGGGTAACTCAAAAACGATTAGACGTAGAACTTTAGCATTTTGAATATGGGACGACTTTAACTAGTTGTGCACTTCCCTTTTTTACTGCAATCGGCAGAACCAAACATATATATATGTAAGATAACAATGTATGAATCAGAATTATAATATAACTATAAACATTAATTCTTCCTCTCTATTCTAAAATCGTAATAACTTATCTGCATTGCGTCATTCAAATTAATCATGCGATCTTACGTAACCGTTAATACCAGATGCCTCTTGACGACCAATCACCGAATTGTAAACCAAAACTTTTCTCTTCGCGTGCTTCCATCTTTCATAACTACGCACTTCAGCTTTAGCTCTCTACTGTGCTAAGATGTAATTTCACTGGCTTGCTTTCTATCTCAACAATATTAAAAATGTAAATCTTCTGTGTAAAGGCACGACTAGAGTGCCAAGTGATTGTGGCCACAAATATCAATTGGAAATAAAAATGGAATTAAAACTGCCTCGACTGCCAAGTTCTTTAAATACTACGCAATCAAAATTCTTCTTCAATATGGGTCTAATCACGCATCTACAGTGTTCCGTCTTTTCCTTGTGTTTTTATTATGACATATATATAAAGGTTAGGGATATGTATAAATGTTGTAGAGACATTAGGATTTTTTGGAAGCAAGAGAGATAAAAAATGAACAATCGCCTTCGCCGGGAATCGAACAACGGACTTCTGAAATACCGGCTCAGTGTGCTGACCGCTACACCTCGAAGGCACGCTAGGAAAGCGGGAGAAATACCTTATAATATATATATATATATATATATATATATATATATATAATGTGTGTGTGTGTGTGTTTGTGTATGTATATTTTTATATACATATACACATATATATGCATATGTATATATGTATATTTTTGATGTGTTATATATATATATATATAACCAACCCCTTTTCGCGATCGTTGGTCATAGTCATACGCTTCCAGTTAAGCTGCGCTTTAAATGACGAAAATATGCATGTTTTGGCAATGTCAAATTCCCCAAAAAATTCTTTTTAATTTTCGACAAATAAACGAAATCTAAAATTTAATGCGATCTCCCTGTTCTCTTTCTTGTATGCGAGAAAATTTTATACTCATTACGAAAAAATAAAATTAGAAGAAGTTTTTTTCCCATATGATAAAAATTGAAATTGATCAGGATATTTAATTTCAAAATTTGCAGTTTTTGATGTCATTTTCCAGATGCCTCGAGGAATCGGTTAATTAAGTTAGAATAATTCGAGGAAATAAGTTTTGATGAAATGCAGCAAAAATGGTGTATAATTTAATAAGCCGTACAAAGAATACTTGTGGTGTTCGCATCAGATCTTTTACTTTAAACGAAAATAATTATCGTCTGCAGTTTGGAATTTTGAAGTTCTTCAGAAAAATATTTTAGCAGCTGCAGGTTTGAAGTTAACATCATAAGACATTATAAAATAATTATAAGTTTTATTAAAAATTTAATTGTACGTTTTAAAGGTGGTAAAAGCGTTAGAAGCATAGTATAAACGGAATTAAAATTAAGATTAAGCTAACAAAACAAAAACAAAAACAAAACAAAACAAAAAAAAAAAAAAAAAAACTGGAGGTATATTCTGTAGCTTTAAAGTTGGATTAGAAGAATAGTTTTTAGTGAACTCAGACGAATCATCAGGTTATACGAATACAACGCTGAAAGTCAAGAAGTAAATTCTTCATGAATAAAAATGCAAGGAAGTTACGCTTTTGAAAATCCTGTTGTAAACAAAAAGTTATCGTACTGGAATATCGTGATATTGCAGACGAATCAAATTTTAATATATCTGGATCCGATAAAAGAGTTTCTGTGGGGTGAAAGCTCGAATATTAAATCTGAAAACTCTATTGTCTTATAATTAAACATCAAGAGATAGAGATATTTTGCTGCCACTCGTACGGGAACTTAAGTTTGCATAGATGATTTTTGAAAATACATAAAGATGTTGTTATTTAAGTTGCATAGATGATTTTTGAAAATGCATAAAGATGTTGTTATTTATCTCACTTGCCTGACAGTAACATCAGATCAATCCCATGAAATTCATCGTGGCAAGGAGGGCTAGATAACGCCTGTCATTTGCAAGAGCATTAGGCACCATACAGATGAGAGTACGACTTTGCTTAGTTAAAGATTCTGAATGAAAACCTGAAAACATCTAAGCATCTAAGCAAAACCTTCCCATGGAAAACCTATTTGAATCTTATCAGAATAATGACCCTAAATACGCAGCTTTAAATATTCACTCATAGATATCGTAAAACTGCCTTTGAACTATCAAAACTTCCTTCATATTCTCCGGGTTCAATCCTATCAAACGTATGTAAAATGAAATAGAGAAAACCGCAAGAAAACACATTTTTTAAAAGCCTAACTGAAAATAATTTTGACGAAGTGGTTGGGGAAAAAATTGAAACTTCCGTCTCAAAAATATTGATTGGATACGTGCCAAAGCTCCTGAAAAGAGGAATTTTAACTGAAGACACACAACTAAATATTAAATGGTAATTTGCACATTTTTTAAACATTAACTGTATGTTCTAAATGTCTAAGTACTTATGCGAGCTCTTTTCAAGCACTTTTTGAATAAATTATTTTTTTGAAAACCGTTTTCAACATATCTTAACAATAAATAGGTTTTAAAGTAGATAAACGACTTTCTGCATGAAAAAAATTTGAAACGGTTCTTTAATATTTAGCAGATTTTTCTCGCAAACAAATCTAAAAAACGAAAAATACAAAACAAATGTGAGATGTTTGTAATGTTATTAATTTTTCTTGCTTGTGGCCTCGCCCATAGTCAGTTTTTAAAAATGCCTTCGGCGATATATAAGATTTTGAAATATTTGCGAAAGTAAAGGTCATGTAAAAATTTTGTTCACACAATACATATAGGAGTGCTTTATGATGGGGGGGGGGTCGAACACCAAACTGATATGCTAACAGTGGAGGAATAATTAATGTGGCGTTCTCTATGTGGTTCACAATTTGAGTGTCTTGCTTTATCACATTATTTGAGTAAAGACATCTTTACATTTTACATAATTCATTGATTTAAAAAAATCCTCTTTTTTAATTATTAAGTATATCCTGCTAATAAAAATAATACTTGTTATGAGAAACTAAATATTACTCTTTTCTGTCTACATTATAATAACATTTCTTATTTATTAATGTTCTTGATTTTTCACTTTTATTTAACAGCAACTAATTCTCTGCAATACAATATATGCAGTCATAAAATGAATAAAATTGCTGAGCATATCATAATATCATCATATCCTAACAAGAACAGGGATCAAAAGTCAAATAAGAAATGTCATAACATAGCTTATTAGTTTTGGCATTTAGAATGCTGAATCTCAAAAAATATCTCAAGCTTGATGGAAAGAAATTAGAATATTATTATCTTCTTTTATGCATGATTTTATTGTGTTTCTATGTAAATAAAGAGTAAAGTTTTACGTAAATTCTGCTTTATGTTTATCATTCTTAAATTCTTTGTTTTTATAATTTCAGCGAAAAGTCAAAATCCTTTTATGTCCAAGAGAACGTCAAGACCTGTTTCACTGATCAAACAGACTGGCAAAACGAAGTCAGACGTCAAGAAAGTAAACGAGCCCATCTTTGTGTTTCTTGCCACCGTGCTTTCACAGATCCAAGCAATCTACAACGGCACGTTCGTTCTCAGCATTTAGGTTCTCGCAATTACACATGCAGTCAGTGTGGAAAGGCCTTCGCAACTTCAAGTGGCTTAAAACAACACACACATATACACAGCAGCGTGAAACCATTTCGCTGTGATGTCTGTTACAAAGCGTATACGCAGTTCTCCAATTTGTGTCGTCACAAGCGTATGCATTCTACTTGCAGAATTCCAAGTTCTTGTGATTATTGTGGAGAATATCTTTTAACAACAAATTCGTTTTCAAACCATCAACATCAGTGTATTGTGAAAAGTCAAATTCCTCAGTTCAGTGTTTCACAAGAAGGAGATAAGCAATATCAAAAATTTGGAGCTACAAGAACTTTACCATTAACTCTTAAAAAGTCTGAAGAAGCTTCCTCGGAGCAGCCAGTATTGGAATCTCATATCCGTAACTCAGAACTGAGGGATTATGCCGACAAAGCCATCACTGCACATGTGACGAAGACACCTTTATCCAGAAATTATTACCCTCGAGAATCTGTCTCTGGCAGTCTGCTACACGGTAATATACACAAAGAATCAGAAATTAATCCATCGAATATGTTTCATTATCAGCGTCAGACATCACCTAAAGTGGCATCTGTTTGCCCAGAAGCCCTTGCCATAAATGATTTGTATTCTTACAACAAGTTAATGGATAATCATTCATTCGGAACTTCTGAATTAACGAGAGAGTGGAAATTATCTGCCGAGGAGCAGTATAATACAAGGTTGCCTGAATTTCGTCCTTTTGTGAACTTTCACAGAGAAAATGACGAGCCTTTAGATTTGAGGGTGAATCATAAACGAAACGATCATCCTGAATCGGACGAAAACGGACAATGGAAGTATTCCATGGAATTAAATCCTATACACGATGCTTCGGTAGAAACTGGATGCCCCTTTCCCATACCTTGGTCCAGAAATTTTCATCCACTTTTCATTGACACAATGTATCGAAGCCACCAAGAAAACGTGGCTTTAAATTTTCTAAATGTTTCATCAGAATTCACACATTTCCCTTTTCATCAATACTTTGTAGGACCTGTGCCAAGAGAGCAGAATGTTTTAAGTTTCAATAAAAGCCAAGTCCATAGCTCATCAAATGATCACTTCCTTAAAACCAAAAAGAATAAGGAAAAGTACTCCTGCAAATTTTGTGGTAAAATATTTCCACGATCGGCTAACCTAACTCGACATTTGCGCACTCATACGGGTGAGCAACCATACAAATGCAAATACTGTGATCGTTCTTTCAGCATTTCATCTAATCTGCAGAGGCATGTTCGCAACATTCATAACAAAGAAAAGCCTTTTAAATGCCCCTTATGTGATCGCTGCTTTGGCCAACAGACAAATTTAGACAGACACTTGAAGAAACATGAAGCTGAAGATTATACCTCCATCGAAAATCGTTTGCATCAGAAAGGATTGAAGGTAAATGAAAATTATTCAAATGGCATGAATGCGTTATTAGGAAAGATAAGAATGGCAAATAAAGAATATGGTACAAATAATTTCTCAGAGGTTTTAGAAGCAAGTAAAAAGTCCTATAACTGGACTTATGTTAACTCTAATGATAATGTTGCTATTAAAGCTGCTTTGAATCAAAACGTAGAGGAAGATAATGAGAACTGTGTGCTGAATTTGCATCGAAGTAATACAGATTCCCTACATTCGGACAGTAAAAGTTCCGATATCAGCAATGATACAGATTCTGCAACAGGATATCAAACTAATGATGACGATGAAGAAAAGAAGAATGTTTATAATCACGATGAACAAAATGAAGAAGAAAATTCATAACACAAGATCTTTTGAGATTCAAAAAAGTAAAATATGAATAAAAATTACCATTATGCATTTTAGACATTCAACTAAACGCACGTGGTTTATTTCGACCAGACGTACTTAATGGCTCTTAACAATGTGAGACAAAATGTGGAGAACTCAGACATGATTTTAGGAAACAGAGATAACGAATTTACAATAAAATGTAATTCGTAGAAAAGTTACTTATCGTCAGATAAATACCAGGAAACTCTGAAGTTTTCCCCCTTAACTTAATACCGAAACAAAGATTAATAAAGAAAGCAAGGCTTTGAAAAATTCATCTTGTAACTTTTAGAATTCTCCAAGCATAGAATTTTAGATTTAAAACAACAAAGTTCATGAAACTTATCCTTTTTCAGAAACAATATCTAATTTGAAAAATATTGTTTGTTGCCTGGTTTAACGTTACAATGCAAGGTGGAATATGATACCATTACTTTCATTCTGTAAAGTTTGCCAAAACTCTTTACGCACAAGGAGGTGATTTAGAATTAAATATAACTACTATTTGGTATCACTCATAAGTTTCAGATACATCCTAGTCTCTTCCACCAAAAATAAGAATATTTATTGACAGAAGATGACAAAATAAGACTTTTGATTACTTATTAGTGTAAATGGATTTACAGTAAATTTTCTGTTACACAGATCCGGAAAAATAGGACACTAATATTTATCAAATATTTATAAATGATTATTTATTATAACAGAAATATCTTTAGATGTATTTAGAAGTTTATAAAGAAATGAGTATTTCATACTGTTGTATTTAAATGTCCCTACATGTTACAATAAACAATGTTGCTCACAAACAAAGGCTATTTATCCTTCTTTAAATCAGCAATTGCTTAAATGCATTTCAAAAATTAATTATTTATGGAAATTATTTTACATATCTTGAAATAGATGATCTATCATGCAAAAGCCTTTTGTACCATATGTAGCTGTGTAAGTCTGATTGCCTTACAGAAGGGCCCGGGTTCTAATACCGGAGAAGCTATAGGGGCACTTTAAATATGCGGGGAGCCGGAAGTCTTCTCGAGAGGTTATTGGTAGAGTAGTAGAGGTAGGAGACCCTCGGACCCTTTTCCCCGGGCTGCTGTCCTTCAAAATCGGGGGGGGGGGACTGAGCAAAGTCGTATTGTCAATTGTATGGTGCCCAAGGCTCTTGCCAACGACAAGCGCAATCTTGCCTCCTTGCCACGAGGAATTTCGTGGATATTCTGCATTATTCAATCTGCAAATGATATTTCTTAGGCTCACCAGCAGCCGAGCGGTAAAAGCCACTGAACACTGGTAGTCGGTTCTGGGATTTGAGTCCCAACGAATGGGCTGGCTGCGTGGACGTTTTTGTGGTTTTCCCTGTGTGTAACGTGAATACGAGCCAGTTTCCCTTAAAATGTCGTCCACGGGACATCCCTCTCTTTCCGGGCAGTGCCAAATGGGAGAGAGCGTAGCAAATTAAAAAAAAAAAAAAAAAATTATATTTCTTAGTCTTACTGTTTCCGTATCTATACCATACTAAAGCCAAATCTCCTGTCGCCACTTCGTGATTTCTTCGAGCCGACAAGCAACAGAAAACGGTCTTTTGGTGTGGTTGTTGCTCTTGGCCAGGCTGGCTTATCCAACTGGTCTAATGTTTAAAAAGCGGCTCCAAACTCTTGATATGACACTTCGAGAAATATTCAGATCTCGGGCGATATCGATTTGTGTTTGATCTCCCTCGATACTACCAATTATTCGCCATTTTGACCTTCACTTAAATGATGCCTACTGTATACTAATCACTTTCAGAAATCACACGCACTTTAAATAACCGTACAGGCCGGAATTCCAATATGCGTTCATTGCGCACCACATTGTCAGTCACTGAATTTGCATATTTCTGCGGCGTAAGTATAGGCGGAAATGCAGTTTTGTGTTCAATTATATTTAATTAACATATGTCTTACTGTTTCCGTCAATGGAATATTTTCCCTCATTATCCTTTAATTTTGATAACCAGTACATGTATTTGTCAACTTAATGTAACCTCATGAACTATGTGCTTAAAAGGAAATCTGCTTACCTTTTCTAATAAAACCATAGATGTAATAATACAGAAAGTTCGTCTGTCCAAGCATATAATTTTATTCCAATAAATGTCTGTGGCATCAAGAGAATGGCAAGAAGAGTCTGATGTGGCATGAGAGTGGCAAGAAGTACTATTTTCGTTAGTTTTCACCATGTTGAAAGTCTTGCATTGCTTACAATTGTACACACCATTTTTAAAAAGAAAACTAAATAACATTTCATAAGTAAATATAAAGAACAAGAGCTTCATTAGTGATAATTTAATAATTTATGAAAATTATTAATGATATTACTTTTTACCTCATTGTAAGTCAAATATCATATTTCATAAACATTATGCTGGATGTATTAAAATTTCAAATAGATGTGCACTTGTAAAATTAGAAAATTGAAATAAATAAATATTTTCTAATTATCCGCTCCCCGTTTTTAACATTACGTAGAAAGGTTCTGTTTTTAATGTATTTTTGAGTGAACACTATGCATATTATTTTAGGAAGTGAAGAAATAATAGAGTTACCTTTCTGTCTTATCTTCATGGTATACACGAGACAACAAACAATCCCACTTACGCATATGGGATTTGCACGCTTTATGGTTCAATACACAGTATCTACCGCTGTAAAAATATAAATATTCAGCATACAGATTACAGATTAATATTATTATTATTAGTCCAAAGGGATTTGAATCCCGAAGGACTATTAGTTTTGTTTTGGCATTTTGCGTCGGACGGATAAATGTCGGTTCACTTTTCAAACTGTTGCCATAAAATGTTAGAGTCCTGCATTATATTTGAAGAAATTAAATAATGAAAATCTGCGTAAATGTATGTATATTTCTCACATTGTCATAAAATAACGGTACATAGAGTCATCGAATTTTGAATAACGTAATCCTCCAACGAATATGAGCATGTGGAAAACCAAATTTGAAATTTGTTTTATGATCGATTTCCTATTTTTTAAAACTTTGACGAATTTTTGATTAACAAACTCAAGGATTTCAAAGCGAGCAATGGCAACGTTGTGCAGAAAAAACATTTTTATCTCCAGCGCGTGAGTCTCTGTATCGGAAATTCTAAAGATATGCTCGTTTTAAAACTATTTTGCGATATTGCTGTTGCACTGGATCTTATGGTTTAAGTGTGAGGAATTAATTGAATGAGTGATATTTAATAAAGAAAGGTAACACACAAAATGTTAAAAAACGCCCCTTTAGACGTAATTTAAAATCTGAAACATTTCAGATTTTTTTTTATTTTTTTTTTTTTATTTATTTATTTATTTATTTATTTTTGTCTTAAACTTTTTCTTTTAAAGAGTTTTTTAGTCCAAAGTGATTTGAGTCCCGAAGGACTATTACTTTCGTTTTGGCATTTTGCGTCGGACTCCTATAAATGTCGGTTCACTTTTCAAACTGTTGCCACAAAATGTTAGAGTCCTGCATTATATTTGAAGAAACTAAATAATGAAAAATCTGTATAAATGTATATATATTTCTCGCATTGGGATAAAAACAACGGTACATAGAGCCATCGAATTTTGAATGAACGTAATCCTACTGCGAATATGAGAATGTGGAAACCCAAATTTGAAATTTTTTTTATTATCGATTTCATATTTTTTGTAAACCTTTGACGAATTTTTGAGTTAACAAATTCAACGGATTTAAAAAGCGAGCAATGGCAACACTCTACGGGGAAAAAAAACATTTTTATCCCTTTTTTTTTTATTAAAATTATCCCTCTTTTTATCATACCTTTTATCTAACTGTGTATCGGAAATTCTAAAGATAGGCTCATTTTAAAATTATTTTGCGACATTGCTATTGAACTAAATTTTATAGTTTAAGTGCAAATAACATGATATTTAATAAATAAAGGTAACACACAAAACGTTAAAAAAACGACCTTTTGGACGTAATTTAAAATCTGAAACATTTCAGTTTTCTTTTTCTTTTTTGTTTAATTATTGATGAACAGAATAAAAATTAAAAGACGTATATTTTGCGTAATATTTCTCGCCAATTCACTAAGTCGCTAATGACTTAGAAACTTTTCGCAGGAGTGCGAATAATCAAAAAGTGCCAATAAAGATATAATTATCTAAAAATTTTTAAGGCTGGAATTTTGCCTAATTTTTTTTAAAATTTTAATGTAGATGTTTCTTATTTAATATTTATTTAATTTTTAGTACTGCATATATTTCCATGTTTCGATAATTTTACCTATATAACATAGGAATAGGACTTTTTAAAAAAAAAAAAAAAAAAAAAAAAAAAAAAAAAAACCACTCGTGGTGTCATTGACTTGAAACAACAGTGTATATTGTATAACAATTACTATAATTGCCAGTGGTTTTTTTGCCACCCTCACGGCTGCTGCCAATTTTCTGGTTAGAATAAGGGCACAATGCACGATGTATTATCATTACTGTATCTATGTAAATTATTTTTTCATAATTATCTTTTCACTTCAATTTCAATAAAATCTCGACTAAAATATATAGAGGTTGCCACCAATTGACAATGAATAAGGTATTTCATTTATCTTTGACATTAATTATCAAAATGCGTTGCTGAATAAAACTTAAAGAATATCATTCGATCAGGATTTATGAATACCATTTTGTAACAATTGTTATTTTACATCAGCACTGTCTAAACAAAACTGGTTTCCAAAACCCCCATAATCGTTCAAATTGAACTGCAAAGTTTTTAACTACACTTTTTCATGTATACTATCGTCTGAAAATTTCCTTGTTAGGTTGAAATGAGGTCTTGATTTTAAAGCCGCTTCAACTGTTCCAACCAACATCCTGCGTCTTGTAATACCAAATAGAGTTGAATGCTTTAAATTAGCGGTTTTCTTGATATTTCTAATACATTTCCTTCTTTTCTTTTACAAACCTGTCTACTATTACCAATTCATAAATCTTTACCGTTGACTAAAATTAAAATTCTAAAAAGCTTTGGGGCTTAATTCTGCATTACGTTTTTGAATACAAAATGGTCTAAACACAAAAATTATCATAATATTAAACAAATTGCACTTAGAAGATTTTAAATTATTATCTAACACATCAAAAAAAGTTCACCATAAAATTTTTTTAAATATTAAAAAGTCATTAAAAAGATTGTTTACTTTACGGAACGTATGGAGTTGGAAACAATTTATTATTATTTTATAACAAATTGTTAAGCTACTATTTTTAACATTCATCTCGATGCACCATAAAAAATTAAAAATCCCAATTAAGAAGTATTTTTATTGCTTTTAAATAACTCTATTTATTAATCTAGCCATAACTGTCTAAGCAAAAAAATAAAAAATTAAATTTAAATTAAAATTAAAAAAATATAAATAAAGAGCTTATGTTTTTCTGAATGATAATATTCTGATAACCTTCTTAGGGTAAGAGCATACGAAATATAAATCAAAGACCTTATGTTTCATGTAGTGGCAATATTTTTCCAGGTGAAGGCATAAAAACTTTCAGAATAACCGATTTCTAGTTTTCATGCAGACGTGCTGCTTGACCAAATCTGCTTCTATATTCTTTCCATTTTCCCATGAAAATTTCTTAACTCAAAATGAGAAATGCGTGAGATATAATATTAATAAATCTAGAGTGCACTAAATTTACAAACAGATTGATTGAAAAACCCAATATGATAATCAAGAGTTCTGGTTATTTGAATATGTCATATCCACGAGGTTCGATT